TAGTAATAATAACAACAATAATAGGAATAGTAATAATGATGATGATGATGATGATGATATTAATAATATTAATAATTATGATGATGATGATGATAATGATGATGATAATGATAATAATAATAATAATAATAATAATAATAATAATAATAATAATAATAATAACAATAATAATAATAATAATAACAATAATAATAATAATAACAATAATAATAATAATAATAACAATAATAGTAGTATTAGTAGTAATAATAATAATAATAATAATAAAATAGTAATGATAATAATAATAATAATAATAATAATAATAATAATAATAATAATAATAATAATAATAATAATAATAATAATGAATGTCAATATAATTGTATATGTATAAGAAAGTATATATATGTAGATATATATAAGATATATATGTATATATATATGTCGTCCGTGAGTATATATGTAAAATGCACATAATATCAGTACATGTAACGATATATATATATATATATATATATGTCGTGTATATATATGTATATACATATATACATATATATATATTATTTTTACGTATTGATATATATATATAATAAAAATGTAGTAAAAAAACAACCATGGCCAAAAACGAAGGTCAACTTCTTGACAGTGAGCTAGCAAGACAGGCTGGCAGGGATGGGACTGAACAGGATGTATATAATAATGTATATTATAGTGTTACGCGCCGATTTTCCTTCGATCCCTCGAATCGGTCAGAGGGAGAAAGAGATAATTCGGATAATGTTCAGTGTTCAGGGAATAGGATTTTTTATAGGAACATTTTTTTTTTAGTGTTAATCGATTTTTGTTTCGCGACAAAAAGAGGATAGGAGAAGAACAAAAATTAGAGCAAAAAAGTCGAAGATATATATGTATACTCGTGAAAGATCGATGGAAAAACAGCGCGGTCAAGGAATGGACATACGCACGAATAAAGTAGCGAAGAGAGAGAGGTTGGAGTTGTCTCGTGGTATTTAAATTGGAAAGGGTGAAGAACGAGGAGAAGGTTGAAAGACGGAGGAGCGAGAGAGAAAGAGAGACAGACAGAAGAGAGGACGATATGCACGATAGGATGTGAATTAGTTTGGAAGAAAAGATAATACGTTCGTCAAAATAGACGGCATGCACGATTGATCTTCCTTCTGCGCAGCGCGTCTCGACGAAGATCTTTTCTTTACGGGACGCTGAAGCTAGAACGATCGGCAAGCGGCTAGATTCAATTTTTTGTCGTTATTCTTGTCTCTTCTTTTTCTTTTTTCTTTTCTTTTTAACGTCCTATCGCGCCATTTTGTGCAAGATTGTCGGCAAGAAATCGAATCGAAACGTAATCGAATCTCAAAGACAAAGGATAATCCGAATAAACTTCTTCGAAACACTTCAACACACTGGTTATTGAAACTATTAACGCTATCACGCGTTAGATGTGTCCTCAGTATTCGGTAGAAATAGAACAATGCGCTGAATAAATCCCTTGCTTATTCGAAGGGAGGAGGAAAATGGACGGTTCTCTCATTATTTGTCATCGAACCTCTCCGATCACACTCTACTCTCGACTCAGGACTCGACTCTAGCGACTCTTGTTAATGATACGATCACTTTCAAAATTAGCGGGGAGAGCAGCAAACAGCAAAGCACTTGGGCACGCATGCAAATAGACCCACATGCAAGTGAACTCGAAATATAATGTATAATATATGCCTGTCTATCTATCGGCGGGGGATAGATAGGCAAACAAAATAGATAGATATATAAATAGATAGATAGATATAAAATGGATCGTGTTGAAAATTTATTATCGAACGACGGATCATTCGTCGTTGCCCCGGGCGATGTTACGGACTCTCTTGTCAACCGACGGTCGTCAACGAGTAGCACGTAAACGAACGATTTGTCGTAATCTTCGTACGACATGCATCGAGTATGCATCGAGATCCAACGAATTGTAGACGTTTCTACTTCTCTATCTTTACTTTTTTTTATCTTTTTCTTTTTTTTTTTTTTAGTATTTTACATTCTTATTATATTTTTTGTTCGTCTCAATTTCGTTTTGTTTTCTTTTTTTTTTTTTTTTTGGAAGACTCGCATCAGCTCATCCACAATCCAATGGTAAAAATGCCGTCGTGTGTATACGATTGCAGATGAGTCGAGCGTGGCCGGCGATACATAACCGTAATCGATATATAAATGCAGAGTAAAGAGAAAGTACGAGAATAAAAAGTAGTCAATAAATTGGAATATATAGTACGGAGGAAGAGGGAAAACTCACCGGATCTGGCGGGAGTCTGTAATCCGTGGATATTTCGCTGCTCGCACTGCGCTCTTCGGTCGACCTTTCCCAGTCCATCTCTTTTTTTAACGACTGCAAACGAACATCGGGTACACGTCAAAGTAATAATTGGATAGCTGTCGATGCTATTCGAAGAGAGAGTACGAACTTGTTCGCTCGTGGAGGCGAACCTCGCTCGAAATCATTAGCATTTTACATTCTCGAGGAGGCGTGATTAATTTGATAAACAATTCAAAGATAGAGAGCGATGTATCGTGTAAACGAATAACGTCGAATCCGATCGAATAATTAAACCGTGTAATAATTACGCGCTGCTACCACTTGAAAATATCGAATAAATAAAGTATAAACTAATTGTCAAACCATTCCATTTATTATATACTAATATGCATATGTAAGATCGACCGTTAAGAATTAATGCATTCTGAAACTGAAAAACTCTATTCTCTTTCTCGTGCAATTTTTTTTTTACTTTTGTTCAATCGCTCTGTCGCAAAACACGAAAATTTCAACAATTCGATATTTCTTTCCCTCGCACGCAAAGATAATTCTAAATTCCAAATTTAGAGAAATAGAAGAAATATTCGACGATCTAAAAAAAAAAAAAATAAGAAGAAAAGAAAAGACGGTACTTACAAGTGGAACTTGCTGGACTGGGGGTAACCCCGACGGGCCCGCGAGAGGCTCTGTACTGTGCGGGGACGGAAGCCGGCTCTGCGGTAAGTTCAACGGTAGCACACCAGGCGTGCTTCCGGTATTATTACTCAGACTCATATCCGAGGGTCCACTGTGGACCGAGATCGGGCTAAGGGAACCCCTCGTTTCCTCGAGGCTGGCGGCATCCTCGGAGTCCCTCCTGGGCCGATCGAGGGCCAACGGCCCTGGGCAAGGGCTACCGGGTCCCGTGGGCGATGGCGGGCAATCCGTCATGTCTACCGCCTCTGTCGACTCGCTGCTGGGCAATTGGGCCACGTTCTGTTGAGTTTGCTCGCATTCTTTCACCCCACCACCCGATGGCAACCCACCGGACGACGACGTGTTTCCTTCCCTGTCTCTCTCTTTATTGCTCGCCTCCTTTATACTCTCGCGTTCACGGTGATGTTCTCGCGATGTCTCGCGCTGTATACCCTCGGATGTGCTCGTGTGCTGTTGTTGTTGTTGCTGCTGTTGTTGCTGCTGCTGCTGTTGTTGTTGCTGCTGCTGCGGTTGCTGCTGTTGCTGGTCGTCCCTCGACGCTACCGCCGCGTTGATGTTCGTCATATCCGCTAGACCCTTCACCTTGAGGCTCTCCGCTGTCTTTAGGAGGGCCGATAGCTGGCAGTACTCGACGTTTACCTCGCCCTTGTACATGAAGTCGACGAGGGTACGTAGCTCGGCGAAACGTACGTCCTTTAGGATGACTATGGGGTGGCGGTTCGGGTGGTCGAGGAATAGGGCCTGGAAGTAGCTGGAGCACGCGGAGAGGACTACCTTGTGGGCACGTATCGAAGGTCCCTCCGTGCACGCCAGTGTCACGTCCACCAGCGACTCCGACTCCAGCAGTTGACTGAACACACCCAGCAAGTTGCTCTGATGATTGTTCCACCTCAGGCAGTAATGCTCACTTCCCATGTCTGAACTGCACCCCGCAACCCTGCTGCAGAAGAAACATTTGTACCGGCCCTACTTACGTCTTCCTTCTTCCGCGTCGCGTCTTCGTCTTGCGAATATTTATTCTCTCTCTTCCTCTCTCTCTTCACACACTCACACACACACACACACTCTCTCTCTCTCTCTTTTCCTTTATTTCTCGTTTCTGCTTTCTCTCTCTCTCTCTCTCGCGCTTTTTACGCGTTTTTATTCTCCTTTATCTTTTCTCTCCTTTCCTTTCTCGGTTTTTTCGCCTCCCATCCGTGCTCATTGTCGAACCCGTGCTGCTCGCTGCTTCGACGTCGTCGTTGAAGTTTCAGAGGTTAGTTGCTCGCGTTGACGTTTGCAACGTTTTTTTTTTATTCTTTTCTCTCTCTCTCTTTTTTTTTTTCATTTCTTATTCCCGAGAAAAGGCTGCGCGTTTCCCTTAAGCCAGGGGAGTTAGTTACGAAGGAAAGCTGGAGGACGATCGGTGAAGCTTTTCTTTTAATTTGCACGATTTCCATTCTGACTCCGTCAGTCGATCAACATCTGGTTATTCCGTGATGCAACACGACGTTACGCGTGTTGCATCAAACGAGTAAGATATCAATTAGGATAGTCTAAGGAAAAAAAAAAAAAAAAAAGATTTCCATCAACTTCGAAATGTTACGCGGTTATATAAATCAATCCGTTTCAATTTAATCTCGGATCGAATTCAGCGCTATCGTTCCCCTCCGATCTTACCTAAAAACCTTTACTTCTTTTTTTTTTTTTTCTTCCTTTCTAAAAATAAATACTTTATCAACTCGTCACGCGTGAGGAAATCGTGTTCAATATCGCAAATACAATTAGAATTGCGCGCTCTTTGTACAATATATTAGATAGCGGATGCAAATAGTTGGACGATAAGAAGAATAAAATATCGAGTCATTCTCCTATTATATTCCTCCTATGTATACCTTCGAATGTAATTACTTTGAAAAATTTGTACGAAAACGTAGAGAAAAATCTCCTCCTATATATATATATATATACATATATCTCTCTTCTCACCTCCACACCTTGACATCCCCTCCTTCGAGGCGTTATCCGAAACGATCAAGCACCGTTACGCAACACGGACGATCGCGTGGGCATCGCGGATGGACGTTAAATCACACGTTCGAAAAGGAATAAGCGCCACGACGTCTAAATTGGTATTCTCTGTCGGGGAAAACCGCACCGCCGCTATCACGATTCCCCGCGGTATAAATCAGCGCGAGGAACGCGGAGGAAGCCTCGTCCCGTAATATCATCGCGAGATTTATTCGAGCGAGCTCTCTTAACTAACCGCGGTCATCGTTCAATTCCGGATCGGAGAGGAGGATGGATATCGGCTGACGATACGAAACGGCCTAACCTTATCTCTCCGTTCTATTCCTCGAAGCCTGTTTATTTATTTATTCGCCACCTCGTCTCGAAAGCGCACGTGTCGCGGACATGTGCGTGCGTGCGTACGTACGAGCGAATACACGACAGAGAATTTTTAATTATCCGATCGAAATTTTCGTTTTCTGCGGTTCGAGAAGTTTCGCTGGGACGATAAGAAAAGGGATGGAAAAAAAGGAGAGAAAATAGGACGTGAAAAAATATCGAGTAAACTGTTTGTTTACTCGAAAGCCGCGTTTTCTCGAGTAACTCAGGCTTGAAAACTTATCGAGTAAGTACGTGTAAATTTGTTTATTTGCGAATCATCGATAGAAGGCTATTCTATACGTAAATATAGTATATTATAATATTCCTTTATATATATATATATATATATAAAGATAATAAATATAACGCGTAGAATAGAAAAAAATATAAGTACAGGGGAACGATGTTCGATGATTTTTAAAATTAACCAATGAATAAGCATTGAAAATTGAACTCTTTCTGGAAAATGATCTCGAATAAATTCATTCCATTCCGCGTTTAATTCCTATTTTTTCCTTAATGCGTTTCTAGATTGGATCGATTGTATTGGGACACCTTGTATACGCAATTATTCAAGCCGCGTGGACGCGCGTGTTCGCGTGATATATCGGCGGATGAATACGCGCGCGCTCGCGATGGCGTGCGCTAACGGCGAGCGATGCTCGCGTGATTCTCTTCGAGCCACGTGATAACACTGATAATACACGAAACATCGTGTATTAACGTAATAATAAAGAGAAAATAATATATTTTTTTACCAAATTACACGCGTATTTGAATAACTCGAGCGAGTCGCGAGCACCTCCTCGTTCGGAAGAAAGGAAAGTTTCTTAATTAGGATTGATCTCTGATACTCGTTATTATAACGAGAATACGATGGAAAATAGTGTTCGGTTAAGCGATTTTGTTTATCGACGTGCTTCGTTAAATTGACCGTTAAGCCAACCGTTCGTCGAATGAGAATGTTACTCTATAAATATTGTATCGCAATTTGATTAGAACAAATTAATATCAACGTTGATGCTCTTTCAAGAGCAAGCAATTAAAAAAAAGCCTGATCTAAATAATAATATTTTTTTATATATACATCTCTGCAACGTTCTTCTGCAACTTTTATCTTCAAATTTTGCACGGGTAATCTTCAGACACTTCTTCTATATTCATATAATTATAAAATTACATCGAGAAATCAATTGTAAGAAATATTTATTACTCGATGTACAGCTAACGAACGATTGTTCGTCGCGTTATCGATCATCATTGCTGACTAGATCTAACTTTCCGCAAGTGGCAGGGGAAGAAAGAAAAGAAAGAATGGCAAAATATATAGGAAAAAATTTCTCGCGCGCACTTCACGTATTCCAAACACGATTCGGAAATCGCGATTTACCGCCGGTTTCTACGACTCTTGTGTAAAAAAACGGAATATTCTTCGCGTGCTCCGGAAACTTGAGCGCGTTTTAATTAGAGCTTGCGGCTAAATTTGCCCGCCGGCTACTTCGAAAACTTTACCCGCCGCGTGAAATCCGCCAGGAATCCGCTTACACGCGTGCTAACTCCCATGGAAAGAAACAAAAGAAACGATGACTTTGCTAATTTGAGCGCGGCCATCAGCTTGTGCTTAGGTATTATAAGCGAAAAGAATTATTTCGTTGAGCGAAACATCGCGTTTCCGGTTCCGCCTCTGTCCAAGGGTAAACGGCCTCCCTCCTCGGATAATTGATGATAATTTTTTTTTCAAAGGAAGGAAATCGTTATCGTATTTTTAAAACAAAACTTTGTCGCAAAAGAAATAACGATTTATCGTTATTATTAGAGACTCGTAGTCTACGATAAATTCGAACGAGGATTTCGTTTCGTATTACTTTTTTTTTTTTTTTTTTACGTTAATTCCTTTTTTTCAAAATTAAAATCGTAATATTTTTCAAACGGACGGTGTTTCCTGTCCATCATATTTAGTTTATTGTACGTCTAAATGTAAAAGGAACACGGTGTAATTACACTGATGATTTTCGAGACTGTATAACCGTTCGCTATCACCGGAAACCTTCGAAGTTACGATGAATGCACAGCGACAACGTCATCGTTGAATACCGTGCGCGATTATTTAATCGAGACCGGTACAGTTCTTCGTCTCGTTCCATTTCGGTTTGGTATGGTAATCGGAGGGGAAATAGTTGGAATTTTAGGGGTTGATTAGGTTTGTGATGTGCATCGAGGCTATGGGCCAAGACCGTTTTCGAATTCTGTTTAGGGTGGAGAGCTGGATAGAGATGTTGGTCGGTTAATTATATTTTGGCTCTCATGGCTGGCCTAATATGTTGGTTGAAATTAATCATGATGAATACACGGATGAATTTAGGACGAGTTTTAAGTAATTTCGTGGTAATTAGAAAGTTCTCGATGGTTGGCCGAATAATACTTGATAATGAAGACATTTTACATCAAAATATTCCGTTTTATATATATATATATCTTTAAATCGATTAAACGAATAGAAAGTTGGTAACAACGGTAATTCGTGTAATTTAGTTAATATTTAAAAGAAAAATTCTTCATTCGCGTAATCACGATGTATGTAATATGAACGCGTATAATAATTTTTCGTTTTCATTACATTCTTCCACTTCTTCTTTATACTGGTTATATTCGTTACGCGTAGAAAATTTGTCGAAAAGTCATAAACTGATTTTCACAAAATTGCACAAAAGGTGCTGCTCCGATAAATATTTTACATTCGGCGAGATGGAACCAAAGAACGAACCGATTGTTTAATTCGATTTGTCACACCTTTCGGAACACGGCGCGCGTGTTAAATTTATTTTTCAACCTCGTTCTTAACACTGTGGTACTTTCGGTGACAAATTGATTTCCCAATTTCTCTCTCTCTCTCTCTCTCTTCGATTTCTTCCTATCCCCCTTTCTCTCGTTTCCCTTAATTCCTTAATCTCGTCGACACTTTCCCAACGCATACTACATATCAAGATCATAATCCTCGAAAAAGAAAAAAAAAAAAAGAAAATCTCGTTTCCCACAAATTTGCTCAAGAGACAAAGACGAGCCAAGTCGAGAGCGTGGAAAACCGTACCCTTTAATCAGAAGAAAAAAATAGCAGAGACTGCACGTTTCTCGTAAATTAACACGATGTCCAGCTGACCTTTATCTCACGCCTCTGCCTCTACACATTTCGCAATCTCTCCTCTCGGAGAAGAAAGAATCAAGATAGAATTCCCGATACCTGGAAAAATTCCATCCAATTCTCCAATTAAAATTAATACTCGTAACTAATCGAGAAAAGGTAACTAATCTTTCAACCCGAATTACTTATCCTCTCTTACGGAAAAAAATAAAAGGAACCGATAATTCTTCTTCTCGAAGGGCCGTCGATCAAAAAATCGTCCCGCGGCACCGTCCTACTCCTCTCGTTACATAAACCAGGCGTGCATGCCTCCCCGTTATTTGTGTCATTTCACAGGTTTTCTTTGGGTCAATCCGTTTAGAACGGCGGGCACGCACGCGTGTACCGGCCACGCCGGGACTAAACCGTGCAATCGGTTTAATGTTAAACAG